TATATATTTAATTATTTATTTAAATTTTTAAGTTTTAATATTGCCTATAGAAGACACACCTCTAGCATATGAGCCAGCAGAAAATGACATATGCGTATTGTTTGGTATTAATTGGATCAAACTTTTAAAAAAAACCCCAAACCTGAAAATCTCATACAGATAATGACTGTTAGCACAGGAACTTTTCTGACCATGGGTTTCTTTCATTGAATTTATGTCCAGATTTGTCCAGATGGAAGGAAAATGGAAGAACAAGTTGTTAGCAGGCAAATAGTTTTCCACTTAAATTCCACGGGTAATGTATTTTCATGCTTAGTGAAAATTGGGGGATATATTTTTCTTGGCTTAAATACTCTTCAGTCACAATGTTTTAACCCCACACAGCCATGTTAATTTAATGTTGAAAATATCTGTAAAGGTACTGGATAGCTTGGTTATGAGTAGAATGAAAACGCGTATTTTTTTGTAAGTTACCTTTCATCTACATCCTGGAACAAACACGTCGGTGTGTGCGTAGTCGTAAAAATTCTTTTGTCAGGAGGAATTCTGGGTGCTGAGAGAAAAATAAAAAGCAGATGAACAAGTGGGATTTTTTGCAACAAAATATACTTCAAACTAGATGGTTTTTTAAATTCTTCTGAAAGCCTAGAAGTCAGTCTGAGAGCATATAAGAAGGCAGCTTGCTAGCTCACAGCCTCTCAGCGAGGGCAGAGAACAGAACAAATTTAATAAATCTTCACTTTAATAAATCTTCAGACCACCGACAGTAACTCATAGAGTTGGCTTTCTTGAGCTGAAATTCAGTTGTGCTACACCACATGGAAATTCCTGTAGCAGAACATCGAACAGTTCTTAAACCAAACTACTCCTTGTGCATCCAGAGGATTACCTTCATAACCAGAATGTACTTTTTCTGCAAGCAACACACAGCAAAGCTGGTCCTCTGCTATTTCCGGATCTTGCACTTTGATAAGGTAAGGAGTCATCCGAAACGGGTGATAGCAAATCTCATTTTCACGCTCCTTCCCTGCACTAATAATTAAACAGAGTTAATTAGTTCAACAGATTCATCTTAGGCAAAACAAAGTTTTAATTTATCCATTGTAATTTCATCACAGCACAAGAACTGCATGATAGCTCCCTAAAATAGCACCCGAGAACTTAACTTTCTCAATTTTTTTTTTTGTAGAAGAGAAGCCAATTCCGATGGCACCCCTTGCATATCAACTGCAATGAAAAAAATACATTGTTCTCTCTACTTCTTGAAATAAAAAGATCCGTGGTTGCTTGATGGAAAAGGAAAAGCATCCCTCCTATGATAGATTTAGTTATTTTATTGGCCCAATAATCTTAATCTGCAACATTATACCCTTCAGAAGGATGAATTTATAGTTGTATTTTATGAAGACTGCTCTATCCTCCCAATTAACATAAAGACCTTCTTTTACTCAGTAATTATTTGAATTAAAAAAGAATGAAGGCTCAGAGATTATTACCTATAGTAACAGTTGTTTGCTTAACAAGGATACAAAACACAGTAAGGAAAGTAACAACCACACAGTGACAAAAAAATATTAGTTGTAATAAGTTTATAACAGCATAGATTAATAAAACTAAAGCTTTTGGAACCCATGTTAGTTGGACAAAATAACACCAGCAGTACTTTTACAGTACATCCAAAGCAACTCTCTTAACTTTGCAGCCCAAAATAAACTTTGTTTAAAGTTCACTCGTACTTTAATGATAAGTATTTATTTACTCCAGAAGTAATTAATAGGATCCGCAATTTCTGTTTTTGGAAATGCTACCAAACAGAGAGTAAGCAGCAAGAAATCAAATTGTGTCTGAGAGTTCATGAAGTAAGTTGCCAGCATTTCCTAAATAAATGCAACTAAAGGAAGCGGGAGCAGGAAGAGGAGGAAGAAAAGCGAACCAGAGGGAACTGTGTCTGCCAGTAACTGCAAAAGAGACAAGTCAAACTGCCCTCATGTGTCTTGATCTACGGGGCACTTGGAATGAATTTAAGATTGGACTTGAGTCTTCTAGAATGAAAGAGACTCTGTGGCAGGTGCTGAACTGAACAGCTCAATTAACACAAACTGGAGACTTTCCACAGCAGTAGGAGATATCAGATGAGCTTCCCCTTTGATGCAAAGCTCAATACTCACACTGATTAACTTTTAAGATGCAACTTCCTGAAATTATTTGTCAGTCTTCTCTGTAGCTTCCAGAGTTAATCAACCAGAGGACATGCAAATATTTTGCCTTATGTTCAAGTTACGGAAAATCAACTTGCTTAAGTAAGGTGCTTATAAAAGTCAGATACTTTTATAATGTGTGGTTTCATAATATAACACTATAATACTGTTGTCTTACCTGATCCGACAAAAAAAGGACTTCTCTTCCATGCAATCCTGAGTGGAAGACTCTGGAAATATTAAACATATTTCATAACAAGTTAAAAATTACTACAAGGTTATGATACTTAAGAGCTTTCCTGTGAATGGTAAAAGGTGAATACTTTAAAACGTTTACGTTTCCTGAAGTCTACACATGCATTTGCTGAACAATATATTTCATGAGCAACTAAATCTGAATACCACGCAGACTGAGGCACGTGAATCACAGCTGCTTGTTTATTAAGCCTTTTGCCAGAAAGATACCCAAACAGTTCTTAAGTTGGAGCTGTTTACTCTTACCAGTTTTTCCAGTGTACTTTATAGTGTTGACCAAAAACATCTGACTATCTGGGATCCCCAAATTTGACCTTTTTCCTAGAAAGGCGCTACAACAGCTGGATCATCAAATTCACTTATCATCCTCTCCTCCAAAAAAAAAAATATTTTTCATTAATTTTTCATTATTTTTCATTCCTGCCACCTTTTAACCATATTTCCTTCCTTTTCCAGAGTAGCCACAGACTGATTTTGATGGCACCTTCTGGTCTTTCAAAAGGCTCAGCGTGCAATACTTTTGGATATTATAGTCTATGGCAGTCAATCCATAGGACAGTGTGCATAGTTCCACTTCCTGCTTTTTTGAAATACGAAGCTATACACAAGGGTCCTGAAACCACAGAAAATGTTTCAGAAAAAAAAGCAGTATAACTGAATAATAGCTGTAGTTAGGATCACATGGTCAGGATTCACCACTGACCCCGTCTCACACCAGAGGCCGGACTAGAGACCTCACAAAGTCCCTTCTGACCTGCTTTACTATTTAGTATATATTTACCACTAATTATTTTTTCAGATTAAATATGGTTCACACTGATTTAATAGAATTACTACACAATGGATCAGAATGTCAAGCATTCAGAGCAGACCTTGTATTTCAAGTGTTTAGTTAAAACAGTTGGCAGCTATTTCTCAATTCCTGACAGCTGCAGCTACACTAGTAAAACAATCCTCCCACAAATACCAAGTGCCCCAAGACCTGATTCTTCCCCGTTAGTACGTTCGACATCATTTTTCTAAGGCTGAAAGAATACAGATACGATTGTACTTGGTGAATGCACAGTGATAGTAGCTAAGTATATCTTTCTACGAGGCAATCAAGGTGTCCAGCATTCAATCATTTTAAAAGGAAGAAGGTAGAATATTATCCCTCTTATCTCTGAGAAAAATATGTTGAAGAAAAAAATGGGTCTTTTTTCCCTACTATTAAAAGCAAGCCTTGCTGATTTCTAAAAGCTTGTTAGACGTCTAGTATTGTTCAGAGTTGTTCTAATAATACATCTGTGCTACACTCTTCAAAGAGTGATGGAGATGGATACAAAGACAGCAAAAATCAGTTCAAGTATTTGTATCTGCATGACTGAAAGAAGGTCAGAGAAGTATCTGCTGTTGAGACCACTCACCAGCTCTATTGCAGATATTCCATGACGGCAATCTGTATGGAGTAGTAGAAGTATAGAACACACTGACATCCTGAGGTGCCAAGAACTCCACAAATTTGGCATTTTTAAAATAACCCTTCTTGCAGCGCAGAATAGAAGCAGCTTGATCAGAGATGTATAAAATTTTCCCAGTAATCAGAGAAACAGCAACAGCAAACATATCCTAATAAGAAAAATGACAAGTTATTTAGACAGTTTACAACATTCTTCAATCCAGGATGTACTTCTTAGATATAACACAAAATGGAAAAACATTCGTAAGTTCGGAATAAAAATCAAGGAAACGGTGTTAAAACACATCTGTTTAGGGAGCAATAAAATTAATCTGCTTATGAGGTAGACACAGCCAGTACCTTTTTTGAACTATGCAATAAGAATATTACCCCAGCCTCTTACTGGGTTAAAGACCTAAATATCACTGCCTTATGATGCAGAATGAATTTACAAATTAAGAATTAAAGAGCTTCCAGTTACAGAACTGCACATTTTACTTGTGCTTTTTACAGGCATATTTCACATTGATAGAATTCAACTGTTCTCTGAAAGGTTGTTTACATTAGCTTGTCCATCCACTGCAAAATGAAAAAAAAAAAAAAAGCCCTCTAAACCATTGGTAACATAATAAGTAGAGAGACGAAAAAGTCCCACACAGCTATACACGTGGTCCACTTGTATCCTTTCACCTCATTTTTCCTCTTGACACAGAAGACCTTCCTGCGTCATAACCTTTAATGCTCGATCTGCTATCACTATACACAAACTTAAGAGCTGTCGTCACAACACCGGTTTCACAAACTCAGATGTTTCACATCAATTCAAAGCTGTTTACAATATTTGGCTGAAGTTCTCAGTTGCACTCTGGACTTCCTATTTATCTGATGTTGTGGGTAACCTTTACTATTCATAGATACAACAAAACCCACCTACTTCTAGCTAGGAAAAATACTCCATCAGGCCATTATTTTTTTGAATTCAGAACTTCAAACATTCAGGCAGAGGCTTCAGGAGGAAAAACGTAGTGAAAGGTAGTCTAATAAGTTTTGATGCAATTATTTTTTGAAGATTCCATAGTTTATTCCTAGACTGCCAGGAATGTGAAAAATAAATAATAAAACAACTCATGCTATGAAGCATCAGAACATGCTGCTCAGGGAAGTAGCGGAGTCACCATCCCTGGAGGTGTTCAAAAAACGTGCAGACGTGGCACTCCAGGACATGGTTTAGCGGTCATGGCAGTGTTGGGTTGATGGTTGGACTTGATTATCTTAAAGGTACCGCTCAGAGGACCAAGGTGTTTAGACTACCAATTTCTAAATTAACATTTTTGACAGAACTAAGCTCAGATCAAGGTGCTATTGCCAGAGTTGCAAAGGCTCAGAGTTTCTCCTCAACGTTCCTCGGAAGGCAAAAGCGAGCTTTTTCAGCTTGTCGGCCTAGCAACCAACTCTTACTTTGCTAATAAAAGAAAGGAGGAAAAAAATATAGGGGGGAAAAAAAAAAGGTATGCCTGAGAATTCCAGTTCTAGTAAATACTTTCAATATACACTGTAAGCCTGGGTCACAATACTCACTGAATTTTTCATGATGTACTCTGAAGTTATAGTCTCAACTTCCTCCACCGTGTAAGATGACACATTGAGTCCAGCAGGTTGGGATTCATTAATCATCAACAACTGGTAGTACTCCTCGTTGGCTACATGAGAACATTTAACAACTTATATTCACAATTTAAAAATCACATCAATAAAGATCTGGCCCAGGAGTGGTAAATGGCTAAAACTAGTCTTGGTATAAGCACAGAACAAGCAGTGGGGAAACCTAGCTGCTACCCCAAATTAGCTTTTCCTTGGTGGAGCTTCCCCATCAGCAACTCAGATAAGTTTACTCATCTTAATATAACCATACGTGCATGCTCATACATTTTGGTCTGTTTAACAGTTCACATAGTATGAAATTATAAATTGTCGTCAAATTAATTTTCTAACTCAATAAAATATCAGGCATCTAGAGAGCTGCTTTAACTCCCAAAAGAACACAAGTCAACAGAGCCAACAAACGGGAACACCATGAAAACATCTGTTTAGAGAGGTTTTCAAACATAATAAACTTAGCTTTACACAGACAACCACATCTAAATTCCTATTTTAAATGATTAATTATATCCAGGCTGGCATCACCTAGGTAGTATCATACTTAATTACCTTTAACTTGTTTAATGCTTTTAAGGGCATATTTCAACGTCGTTAGGACACTAGATTTGCCTTTAATTCTCTTTTCAGAAGGAAGGTGAGCTTTCAGCTCTTGTAATGTTTTCAGCAGTTCCTTTTGTGTTTTGGCTTTAGTGGACTGCTCACTACTGTAAGATTAAAGACAAAAAAATAAACTGTCACTTGAATGCCTGCAGTGACACACCTCTACAGAAGCCCAAATATATTCAGACTTGTCACGTACCTAAATTTATACAGCTAGCCACATGAACTTTTCCAGCACTTAGTATCAACATTTAGAACTTAAAAGAATTCTCACAGTCATTTAAAATGAAATATTCACCACCACCTTAAGTCTTATTGTAAAATGTACTCTATATGTGCAACAGTACATATACCCAAGCACCAGACAATTTTAAATTTTTTTGTTGGGCCACAGTCTCCCTCCTCCCTTTTTAGTGGTATTTTCCTTAGTTCCTTTCAAATTCAAACTCATAGAAATGTTCATGGACTTCAAAGGAGAGAAGCAGGAGGTCCACTCAAGTCTTCACCTCCTGTTCGAGCAGGGTCTCATAAGAAAGGTCCCTGAAAAGGGAATGGCAGTGGGAGAGCATCAAGTTAACAAAACAAACGGAGAAATCCTCTGAACAACGTATCCCAGTTAAGCATGGCAACACATTAAATAAGGAAACGTGACTAAATATATACAGTAAAGAATCAGAGGAGGCTGGAGACAGAAATCGCATTCACATTTCTCAGGTGCATGCTCAGAAGCGCTGTCTCAGTGCAGAAAGTCAAACTACAGAGATCATCACTGCCAACGGCAGAAAATTATTGCCTGCTTTTGCTGTTCCTGATATCTCTCCCTATTATTAAGAGGTGCTGAGAAAAATCAAAAAGGAAGAGAAAAGAAGGTGAGGGAAGGGAGGGAGAGGATGACAAAGATGAATGGCAGGTGGGTAGGAAGAAGTTAAAATGAAAAATCACCTTGTCTTTCTGATTGGAGTAGATTTTAAAAGCTAATCAGTCACAACAATCAAGAGGATTCTAGAGCTTTTCTTAAATCTTCCCCCAAAAAAGTTCCTTCCCACCAAAGGGAAGCTCTTCTCTTACCAGCTGGTTGTCATAGTCTCTAGGAAGTTACCCTACCAGAAGAAAATATAGCCTTGGCACTGCACTGTCTGAAGTGCTCAATAAAGTGGCTTCAGCTTCCAGGTAATTTAAAAAAAAAAAAAAGAGGATTTCTGAATGTTTTTCTGGGAAGTTTGAAAAGTTCTTCAGCTAGATCATTCACCTGACAGGTGTTGGGTGTATTTCACCAAAAATGTCTGAAGAATAACAAAGCTGGCCTGTACTAAAGAATACTCATTGTTCTTGCTCGCATCACAACGTACTACGAGAAACATAGTGTTCACTTAATCAGTGGTCATTTTGTACTGAGAAATAATGGCAAGGGCTAAGACAAAGGAGTAGAATACTCCCTTGGGAAACACCATGCTCGTGCTGTATATTAAAATCACATCTACAATATGCCTTGACAGTTTGGACCGATGCAATCAAACGGGGCCTTGGTAATAGAAGAACCCTCTACGCTGGCAGTAGGGAAGAAAAATAATGGCAAGGGCTAAGACAAAGGAGTATAGTACCCCCTTGGGAAACACCATGCTCGTGCTGTATATTAAAATCACATCTACAATATGCCTTGACAGTTTGGACCGATGCAATCAAACGGGGCCTTGGTAATAGAAGAACCCTCTATGCTGGCAGTAGGGAAGAAGAGGGAAAAGATCATGAAGTAACTGAGCAGACTGCTGGTTTTGTCATCTCCGAGTATGTTCATGAGAGCGGTCAGGCTCTTCCGCAAGAAAAGAAACCTTTCTCAATCAGCCTACAGCAGCAGCAAGTACAGAAGATGGGCCTTCTTGGAAAATAAGTCAGACAAAAACATTTTTCCAAAGATCAGCAGCATCAGGCACAGCAGAAAACCACAGGGAAGGTGTGACTCGCAGAGGAGGGTATAAGCAAATTCTATAAAGACAAGAACTTTCCATCTTGCTTTATGTGGGCAGCAAAGGTGCCTACAGATATTGAATTAAGTAGTTGGTTGGTGCCAATATGAAATCCAAAGCCAAGCAGTCTTTGAGTTGAAGACTAAACCTATAGCTCATCAGCTTCTTTTAGCCTTCTCTTTAAAGATCATTCTCCAGACAGCCTCAGTCTCCCATTCCCAAAAGATAGTCAGATTCCGCTCTGTAACCCTCTAGCACTGTGCCTGATGTGGGGAAAACACTGTTCCATCTGGAACAAAGCAGCATCTGGAGCAAAGAGCAGTTAACGGAGTTTAAACTAAAGAGGTAGGAGAAAAGCTGCAGGAAGTAAGCCCCAAAAAATCTTGCAGTGGAGAAAACTGAGTCAATCGAAAGGAAGATTAAGAAATGCCTTTGGCTCACTGTGTTTCATATTAAGGGACATGAACTGCAGACCACAATTTTCAACTGAAAACACAGCACAGAACAAGATTTCCAGGTGCCTGCAAGGCAGATGCAGAAAATAAGTTTATCGAGCACCAAATGGTGTAAAGGGGTCATTTTATGTACCCCTTCTCTAGGAACTGCATCAAGTAGAAACACTTCCAGGTAGGTACATGTAGGCAGGGGTCACAACTGACATCAGTAGGCTACGGCTAGTTATCTGTGATCTGCTGAGGATCAGGTTTTTGATCTTTTGATCAGAAGCTGACTTAAAAAAACCCAACAGATACAGCAGGGCACTCGGAAGCATCTGGATTTGAGCCTTCAATGTCACCAGGGTTGTCAAGGCTATCAGGGTCAGAAGGAGAGTTCATACAAAGGGATCCCTGCAGCTGATGTGGTTTATCCTTACAGACTTGAGGCTTGAATCCTGGTGAATGGAACAGAGGAGAGGCAGATGATACGGCTGCTGGGCAGCAGAACACATCTAACTCAATGGGTGAATTCTGATGTTAAAACACTGCTAAGGTTGTCCCCAGGCAAGGGCTTCCGACTAAATTCTGAAGAGCAGAAAACATAAAGAAAAGCTTCAAAATAACCTCGCTAGAGCTGAAGCAGCGTTCAAACCACAAAAATGGATTTACAGAGTTAAGCTACCAGATCAAAACCAAAAAAGACGACTTGAAAGGTTATCACACAACTTGATAGAACAGCAACAAAAAGCTCTAATTCAACCAAGTGGTTAATGGGACATGCTACTGATTACAGACAGGAAAAGAACGAAAGATAGAGTTTCTTGTGTATTCCTCCAGGTTTAGCCAAAACAAAAAACCAAAACACAACACTAGTCAGTTTTCAGCATTTAGCATTACATACATGCAAAGTACTGAAAATACTACATTAATTTACCTGCATCCACTGCTAGACTGATTGTGTTCAGAGTTTGCAATCATCAGACTAAATGCATTTGAGCTTGAACTAGAATAAGGAAAGACAGAAAGAGATCAATATTAGTAAACCTAACAAATAACTTGCAGTTCATTTTAACTTCATACTTTCCTGTTAATGACTGGCTATCTAGAAAACAAACAAACAAAAATCTCACTTTAAAAGCTTCTGCCTGGTACAACAAATAGAAACTATAGCTGTGGCACATTTGCTGTGTACACTGATTATTTAAAGGATAAAAACAGCACAGCTGCATCCTTACACAAAGACTGACACTTTTTGATATACAATTATAGAAGCTGGTTGACAAGAAAGTATATAAATAAGGCTAATTAAATGCACAACGATGAGAAAAAAAGATTCAAATGAAGCTCGCCCTGTGCAACAGTAGAGATCTCTTTGTGAATTTATACAATTTACATCACAAAGAGTACAACTAGAACACTCAGCTTTAAGCTAAAGATACATTTTATAACACAGTCATTATTTAGAAATTAGATTCAAATAGAAAAGCCTTTAATGACAAAAACAAAAGCGGAATTTATTTAACATATAGCTCCTACCTTTTATGACAGTCTGAAGATTCCATAAGCATTGCTGAGTCTTTCCCATTTTCATCAGACTCATGGCCATGAGAATCATGGCCACTCGAGTAGTTTTCATTCGTGTCGTTTCCACTGAAGTCATTTCCACTGGATCCACTGCTCATCTCAACATCTTCCTGAAGAACTTCACGAGAGTGTTCAGGCTTGGGCTGAATTTCTGACTCTTCAGCAATCATCTGGCTATGGTTATTTGCAAGTCCAGAGTAATCACTCATTTTCTCTTGTGCTTTTAAAGAGAACGACGAAGAAAGGCTTTCACTGATAGCAGATTGCTGCTCAGGGTTCTGCTCCTCAGTGCTAGAGTAGAACCCCCTGAACTTGATAGAGTCCATGGGACGCTCATTAGAAACACTGCCAAGATCAAGAGTAAATCAAGCCATATTCAGAATTCTCTCTCGGTATAAATTCTGTTTGGAAGCACAGACCCACAAATCTGAGGAGGAAGGGAAGGAAGAAAAAAAAAAAATTATTGTTTGCCTTTGCTGACAACCTGGAATTCTCACTGACTGACAAAATTGAAACTGGTAAGTGATACTCATGGTTAATGCAGCGAGCATTTGAACAACGAAGATTTTAACTTAGATACAATTGCAAACCCAACAATGTTTAATCATGGAAAAGGTATTTATTTTTCCTAAAATGCACACAAAAAGAAATAGAATACACACGAAAACCTATTGAAAAGTTTAAATATTCACTTGTTTGCTATTCTCCTACTTAATACTTGACACTTACTTTCTCAATTTGTTTAATACCTCATTATTTTCAGTGAAACCATTCTCCTGTCTTCCAGTTTACCACAATAAACAACAAATTCCATTCAGACATCGGTGGATTCTTTACTTGGTTTGGAGATTGACTGAGATTTTGTTGGTTTGGGTTTTTTTAAAGTAAAAAACAAGACTACGCGTTTAAAAATCAGTTCTGCCATTTTGTACAAGAGCCACGTAGACTGAACATACAGTAGGAACAGGGAAGCTAAGTACAAAAGCCCATCTATTTTTCAACAACACAATAAGCCTGAGAATAATTTTATCTGCTGATTACCACCAATTCAGGGAGGAGGGGGTGGGAAGGGATATCCGCATAGTTTAGAAAAGTAAGTTTAAAAAAAAATAAACAAAACAAACTCTGTTTTTAAAGCAAACTCTAATTCACCAGGCTCAAAATCGGAGCGTACATGGAAGTGAACTCAGACTAAGATTGAAGAGCCATCAAAGGAGAAGTACTAGAAAGCAGTTCAACTTTATGAATAAAATAAAGATATTTAATCTGACTCATTTCCTTGTCTATCTCAGCACCCCACAGAGACAATACCACAAAACCATGGACTAAGATTCTCTGAACAATATAGTTCATCATCATGGGGAAAAAAATAAAAGGTTGTTTTTAAAACAACAGAATCATGTTTGTTCCTTCCTCTTTGTTCCTTTAACATATTCAAGATTACAACTGTTGACTAATAAGCCTCTAACTGGAATAACAAAGTCCATGAAAAAATCTGCAACAAAGTTTTGCTAATACTAACTGCAGTGGCTTCCCTTTAGACACAAATAAATATATTTTTTGAAAGCCTGTAGCAGAAAACATGAACCTAATATTAATTTTAAAACACGCTATGATTCAACTCCCCTTCCACCCCCTGAAAAAAAATTGAAGCTATTTTCTTACCCTCCTAATTGCTGTTTTTCCAGAAATTTTGTTAGCACTTCATTATAGGTAATAATAAAAAAAACCCCTTTGGATAGAGTAAAATATCTTGACACTTCAGTTCTGCATGTTTTCACTGCAGGTACACTAACCCAGACTAACCTGACATGCTGTTACACTTTCATACTGCATACAGGCAGTAAATTACACTTCAGTAGCTTCAACAGTTTTTTCTGAACTAAGTAAGCCACTTCTGACTTAAAAATTACATAACGGAAACATGCAATAAAGGAGCATTTACCCTGAGGTGAAACTCTTGTATTATTTCGCAACGGCACCTACTCTGGTGGCCAATGATTAACTAGATCAGACACTTCATCTCGCATTTAATCTCTTTGGTAGTTAGAGCTCACACTTTCACTTGCCTGACTTAGCAAGACGTTTTAATGAAGTTCTGTCCCTGTACATAGTCCACGCTCGCCACACATGCTCCTAACGAGCCTGACTGGTTAGTGGCACCAGTGCTTAACCACACGGGGCTTAGCCCCGACTCATTTTGTCTCCGAGTGGCTGAAAACGTCAAAGGGCTCAGGAGAAGGAACACAGAAGGTGGCACTGGGAATACAGGCGGCACCCAAGACAAACCTCCTGTTACTGTAAAGGTAAGGAGTGTTTTCTAAACCCGTTAATTTATTCTTGCCCAGGAAATACTCTTACCACTACTTCAAGTATTGCAGAAGTAAGAGTATCTGTCTGGTTAAGTGACTGAACCCGCTCTCAAGAAGCCATTTCTCATGTGACATCTGTACTCTTACTTCTCGCAGGGCACTGGGGCTGTGAAGTTCTACAGAGGATTCAGTTAAGAAACTTTACTCATATCAGTGAGTAAAGTTACCACAAGCTACTCAGCTAGCAATGGGATTGCTTTTTACGTTCTCTGTAAAGGTTAAAGGCAACCTCAGAGGCCATCTACAGCATTTGTACACTTCAAAAAAATGCCTTATGTGCATCAAAATGACAAGTAAACCCCATCTTCATTAAGATTAAGCTTTTGGAAAAAAGACAGCCACAGCATCACCTGAAAAGGTGATCTGACATGAAGGAATTTAAGGTGAGATCAAACATTCCTCACATTATATTCTGTGCCCAAGGTGAAGGTTTCCGCCTACTTCTCTGACCAAATGCTACTTGGAAAGAGCTTTAGGTACAAGAGGAAAAAACCAACCAAACAAAAAAACATACTGCCATAACCGAAACAATGCTAGCTGCTAGTAAACTACGCTACATGACTTCTTTAGAAGGAGAGAAAAAAGCTCTCTCAAAAAAAAATGTTGGAAGTTAAGAGTCAACAAAATGGTACCACAGCAAGCATGTAATGTTACAGTTTGAAATTCTGAGCAGTTAAACCACTAATAAGTAAATTTTTTCACCTCCGAATATTACCTACTGTCTCATCTCCTCTCTTCTTTCCCTGACACCTCTGTTAACTTCTGCTTCCTTAGGTGGGAGAGAATTGCTCCCCCCAAAACATATAGCCGAGTAACTCCACGACAGTCAAGATTACAGGGGTTTAAAAATTATTTTTATTTTAAACAATGAATTCCAATTCAGAGAACCACCAACAGAAAAGAAGTAGGTAGTGACCTATAGGAGATACCGCGAGAATTTTCTTCCTCCTGGTATCTGGCAGAAACTTGTGGCAGGAAACGCTTACGTTGTGTTACTTCTGTCTCTAATCAACAACATGCTGGAGCTCCTGCAGTTCTGCTGCAGCATTTACGCAGACCCCACATAACTACAGCCCAGCGACTGCACTTTGAACCACAAGGACAGCGGTGCCAGAAACAAAAATGAACATCCCAGTACTGGAGAAGATACAAGTTTGACCTTTCTGGTGGCATCTTTCAAGAAGAATTGGTTCAGCTCCTTGAGGTGAAACAGTGCTCTTGGGCAAGACTGGAAGATTAATGTCACTGGAAGTCAGTCTTGCACAAAATTTCTTCTGTTTGAAAACCTTGAAAGCCTTAGTGCCAGAGGCACGTACCAGCATAAGGAATACAGGAGGAATAAATAGGAAGGAACAAGAAAAACACATATGATAGACTTTCAAGAGCATCTAGGTAAAGAAGGAAGAGGAGTGTTTCTAAACCGAGAGCTTGTATAATAAAAAAGCCAGGATGTTCCAAAGTAGCAATGTTAATATATATCATAAATTCAGAGATATTTTCTAGAGAAAAGATGGGAATAACTGCAAAAAAAAATAGGAGACTGGCAATTACTCTACACCATGCTCTGTGCCTGTAATTTTAGATAAGAACTGATGCATCTGGCTGGACTTAAGCTCATCCTCTGACTGAGAGTAAAGTGGAACATCTGTATGCATACACAAGCTCCACGCAAACACTTCAGGAGCACAGGGTCAGTCATCCCAGAGAGATTAATTAACGTTGAAACTAATCTCAGTCAAAATGCCGTAATGAATTGCACATACTCATCCCACTTACGTTCTTGAATAAATTTCCAATCAACAACCAAACGAGAAGCAGAAGGTAAAAGCTAGCACGCTTTCCCAGTCCGAGGTTCTCTCCTCTTACCACTGGTTGAGGAAGGTAACTGCACCTCACACTAAGCTGAGTAAGTAAGAGCAGACAGTCACATGAAAGGTTTGAACTCAAGAGAGGTTTATTAAGACTTTTTTTTTTATTTTCTGCTCCAGCTTTCCAAACTTTTAAGGGAGGTTGTCTATTTTGACTGTGTAAATAAAAATCTTATTTTCAATCTTAAATCGGCACCAGTCGACCTTGATTAAGGCAACTGGCTCACAAAAAAGCCATTCTATTCTTCTAGACAGAGCAAACCAACCATAGGTTTGCTATTTTGCCACCTCTGGCAAAGATCAGAACTCTTGAAAATCCTGTTGCAGTGTATGAAGGAGGCAGCATAATTCCACTGAACAGTAAGGACTAATGTAGGCATTAATATGCCAGATTAGATGTGCCCAAAATATCTTCTAGTTATTCTTTATCTACAGTAGCTCCTTCATCCTGCAGTAAGACAACGGAAACAGGCTAAACTTTAGTGTTCCCAGAAAAACACACCAAAATATATATGGCCAAATACCGGAAGTAATGAGTTTATGCTTTTTAAAAACCCTCTTAAGAAGGGCTGTAAAACTCCAAGGAAGCAAATTTCTTCAAACTATGGTGTTTCAACTCAAAAGTCTTCTTTCAGCAAAGATCTGGTTACATTCAGAGAACAGATATTTCGAGATTTCTCTTCACACAAGAAATATCATGCCTAGTACTGGCATTTAAAGAATGAGAAACTAAAAATCCAGAGTCAAAATTACCTAATTCAAGAACTGAGTAAGAGAAGAACATCTCAAGATTTGATTCTAAATTTGCAACAGATATAAATTCTCCTATATTCTCAAATGAAGCAAGAGGCACACCACAGTTTACAACTATGCTTCAGACATGTGAGTATCTGGGGACTTTTAGTATCAATTCCTCATGGTCAGGATTTAGTTTTACTGAAGGTCTTATCAACAAGAAGAGTTTCCACACGTCTCCTGGATGATTGCTTTGCAAAATGCTAAAAGTTTTCTCATCTGTACGACAAATAATTAGCAGGGATTTAATCATATCACACAATTTCAGAGAAAATTGAAAATTAACATCTAAAATGAATGCGTTGTCCCTGTGCAATTAGACAATAATTAAATGCTTGGTAGTATCAAAACATGAGGAAAAAATATTGAAAAACAAACAATGATCCAAGTGACTTGTCTGACTGTACAACTTCATCAGCCACAACACTGGAGAGCTTCACTTTTTTTGTGACAAGCGACAGAACATTTAACAGAATACCTTCACTAGGACAATTTCTAGGAAGCGGGGGAGGGTGAAGGCAGTATTGTCAGACTTCACTACAAGAAAAAAATAATAAAAGATGCTTAAAAATTTCCCACAAGATTTTTTGAATGAAAAAAACCCTTTTTTAAAAAATTTTTTTTTTTGCATCTCACTGCAAGACACCAGAAACAAGTTTTTTTCTTTTTCTTAAAAAGGAATGAAGCAGAAGTCAATTTTCTACTTATGTCAATAAAATCACTGACACATCTAAAACCTCATGAGTCCTCCCATAAAACCTGAATCTCACAGCACTCATTTCACTAGTTGTTGATAACGAATCATCTTTCCATTCAAGAGAATCCCAAACACAGGACTGTTAGTTAAATAAAAGTTAGTAATATCTTTACAAAAGGGATCCTACTGCCACCTTACAAGCCATAGCCTCGGTCCAGAGCCATCCAAGCATCACCCTGAATTAACAGCAGCACCTATAGGGGAAGAGGTCAGCACAAGCACCACGCTTACGCAGGGCTCTTGCATCCATAACGAGGATGCTTCCAACCAGATTATTTCTTCCATGAAGAAACTGAAACTTGAATTCAAGTGTAAGCATCAGTTTAGGCTAAAAAACGTTTTAGCTTCAGGTAAGGTAACTCCCAGGACACACACAAAAAAATAGTTCTGAATGAGTATGTAATATGACTGAAACCAGAGTTCCAGGCTAAAACAAGCAGAGAACAACGTATTTTTTGCATTAACTCTAGGGAGGTGGGAAGGGAAGCATCTTTCTACTAACATGAATCATAACAATTATGCATGTTTCTTACCTGTTTTTGCTACGACAAGTTGACAAAAGTGTTTATCAAGCTCCCTCCCAGCTAGCATCAAAAGCATGAAGTGCCTAGGTCCAGAGAGTCCCACATGTATTTAATTCGTGTCTCATCCTCTTCTACTGGAAATCTTTGACCATTACAGAGTCCGGACACCTCTACAACTATAAAATATAAAAGAAATACCTGGGCCCCCCAACAGTGTCCTCTTCAAACAGATACCAGAGAGATGCTCACAGTTATGCCATGCCTATGCAGATAAATGTTGGTTAAACATGAAACTGTCATCCAGCAGAGGAATCAGATACAAATTTGCATTTTAAACACTTTTGGTCTAAAGTAAGGTCTTAGAGATTTTTAAAAAACAGAATCTTCCGCACTAGATAAAATAACCCTTCTAATTCACTACCGATATGGTATCATACTATGTACACGCAGAGTACGTACACAGTCTGCACGGGCTGCCACAACCACTGCAAATGAAGGGCCAACCTGTCCAGCAGATAATAGAGCAAAACACTTGATGTAGTCAGCCGGAGCTCCAAATGCTTCCAAAGTTTGGTCAGAATGCCATTTTAACACCTGAACTGAACTCATCTATGTCGCTGTAGGCTTGATATGAGCATTAAAGAGTTTACTAGGCAGTGCAATAATTTCAATTCACAGAAAGGTTGAGGTCAAAGGGGAGCTCTGGAGGTCGTCCTGTCCCACTCCCTGTTTGGGCAGAGTCACCTAGAGCAGGCTGCCCAGCACTTCCTCCCGATCACTTTCAAATATCTCCAAGGATGGAGATTCCTCTCTGGGCAATCTGTCCCAATGCCCATTTAGCCTCACAGTTAAAAAAAAAAAAAAAAATTGTTTTCCTACATTCAGAAGTCTGTACTAACACAGTCCGTCAATATACTACTCTTCCTAATAAAAACAGTTTCCCAAGAAAGACACTATGAAGTTCAGCATGAAAAACTGAAAGCTCTTCCGTTAAATCTAGGAAACTAAGCCTATTGGTACATGTCACTATCACATAACACAAAGCAATAGTAGAATAAAAATCCGAAGTTCATAAGAGCAAACATTTGTGGGGCAAACAATTTCATCACTTCAAGTGCTTCATTTGAATATGCAGAAGAAATGTTTGGAACAAAAATTTGGAACAGTGCTCAAATCCCAAGCTAACCATTTTGGAAGACAGCCCACGTTAACATGCCTTAATTTAAAATGCTGCACGTCTACCAACTGTTAAAAGTACATTTGTGTTGGCCAGACTTAAGGAAGAATTTATTCACAACATTCCATTCTGCATAACATTGCAAAGCCCATGCAAGTTCTACAAGTCTCAGATCGCGATACAAATCTGCGTACATTGGTTCTTTAAATGTTTTGGCTCTGTCTTTATCAGAAATTGATAAAACAGCTCTTTATCTCTGACCACGAGAAGTGTTAGAAACTGCTGTATCTGGAGCTACTTGCAGATTTCACAATTTTTAGCTTAGACGCTGAAAATCATAGAATCATTTAGGTTGGAAAAGACCTTTAAGATCATTGAGTCCAACCGTTAATCCAGCCCTGCCAAATCCACTACTAAATCACGTCCCTGAGCACCACAACTGCACGTCTTTTAAATTCCTCCAGGGATGGTGACTCCACCACTTCCCTGGGGAGGCTGTTCCAGTGCTTGACAGTCTTTTCAGTGAGGAAATATTTCCTAATGTCTAACCTAAACCTCCTCTGGCACAACTTGTCTACGGGTTGAGGCCATTTCCCCTTGTCTTATGGCTTGTTACTTGGAAGAGACGACCAACCTCTACCTCACTGCAACCTTTTTTAAGGTAGTTGTAGACAGCAACAAGGTCTCCCCTGAGACTTCTTTTCTCCAGGCTGAACAAGCCCAGTTCCCTCAGCCGCTCCTCAGAAGACTTGTTCTCGATACCCTTCACCAGCTTCACTGCCCTTCTTTGGGCAGGCTCCAGCACCTCCAACACTAGTCTTTCAGCAGTAGCTAAACCCTGGTTTACCGACAGCTCTTCCAATTCCCTCACTCTAACTCATCTCCCTGTAGTCTATGTATTTTTTAATGGAGTTAAGTTTCTACCTTCACTAAACAAGATCTACAAGAAACTCGCCACAAGGTCTTGTCTGACTATTTATGAAGGGATATAGCATTTCTCTAGTTTGATGACCTCCACCATGACATTTTCATAGATAAAAAGCTAAAAGGTTTAAGGAAGTCTGGGTTTGAAGAGGGTATTTGCAGTAGCAGCATGTACCATTTTAATTGGGTATCATACTGGCTTCACCTACTTAATGCATTTAGGAAAACATTAAGAAATAACAGTCTTTGTAAACTACTTAAAATTCTCATGATAAGCCTTTCTACAATTCAACTGAAAGCTAAGGCAAATCCATGCCAAAAGGATTGTTATCTGGAACTAAACACAAGTCATTCAAACCAGGCAACTTATCAGTTTGAGTAGAGCTGGACGCAGTTAAATCTAATCTTCTGGTTTTCTCTTATTTATCAGAAGAAATGTAAAGGCAACTCGGTATGCCCAAACACCAAAGAACTAAAAGAGTTCATCCGTGTATAGCATTTCAAGACGTCTTTTCCACAGAAAGAAGCCTAATTTGATCAATCTACAAAGAATATAGAACCTGTGACAACATTTCCTTCCATACTGTGATATATCTATTCTAAGCCTAGATGATTTCAAGTATTAGACAAGAATGAACAATGCTTTAGGGAACACACCTGTGTTACAGGATCCCAACCAAGTTCACTTTCGGTAGAGACCTGAAGTCACACCTGCAGCGTTGAAAAGAGAACAACTGATATCAGCATTAAGAACCTATTCAGATCACATTACACAGACACAGAAAAACAGTTAGGGTTTGGTTTTTTGCAATCATTTAGTATTAATCCTCAACATCTGTTACAATTACACCTGTACTGCAATATTACAGTACTATCCAGAACCGCTATCCTTCTCTTTCCTGTCCTGGACCATTATTGTCCCATCATTGGATCACATTTAACAAAACCACCTGGATATATTTTTTCTTTGCATTACAGATGACATGCCTCCACTGTTCTCCTTTACTCTCAGCTGTCTTTTTTTTTCCTTTTCTCCGATAACCATCAACTTTTCTTAACTTTCAGAATATTTGAATAATTATGACTGTCTATTTTGCTTTCTTAATCAACCACACATCCCACCCCACTTGCAATAGGGTTTTTGGTCATCAGCTTCCCACACATCAAATGTAAACACGCATAAGGCAATATCTCTCATGCCACGCGTTCAACTTTCAAAACAGAGATCAGAACAGTATCAGCCTGTTAGAAAATAGAGCACAACTGACCAAAAAATACTGTTGGAAGCTATGAGCTGCTTACTAAATCAAAGCTCAGAAGCATAATGTTTAACTTTCTCGTCCTGAGCTATCACCCTGATTATGTGAACAACACTAGATACTTTATTTTCTGGACCTCAGAGTTTTCCTCATAATTAATATTTCTTAAAACACATAGAAGGGCAATCAAAAGACTGACAAGGTTTACATGAATAAACTTCCACACAGCAAATAATGCAGACGTAGCACTTGATACTGGCTACTACACTAAATTTCAGTTTCCTAAGGATTTAGAGAAGCCACATCATTTCCATGTGCTTCAAGATTTATACAACAGGTCTTTAAAGATTTAATGCCCTAACTATCTTTTTTGTTTTCAGCATTCTGATATCGCAGTTCAAAGGAAGCTTACAAAGCAGCAGCAGCAACAACAACAACAACAAAATCAGTTCAGAGTAACTGAGAAAGTACTGATAGTATGAATCGCTTTCTTGGGGTCAGCACAAGGGACTCACCTTAATGAAAGTGCTAATCATGATCTTCCCAAATCTGAAAGTGTCCTCAACACACTCCTATTAAAGAAAAAAAAAAAGTTTTATAAGCAAGATAAACAATTTTTTTATGAAACATAAATCAAGCTCATTTAATAATGCAATACAAGTTCTAACATGTAAAATACATATTCCACAGACAAAGAACAATTAAAGAATACAAATACAAAATGAGAGGAAATGCAAGAAATTTTACTGATAAAAATATTTACTATTATTGTAACCTAACTTCTAAATTGGTTCCTTGAGCAATGCCCAGAGTAACACGTCAAAAGTCCATCTCCATGATCTTCATTTACTGTTAAAATACTGTTTAGATAATACAGATATCAACACAGTGGATTTCAAAATCAACTATCCACTCAATCTGGGAGCATCCAAGCTGAAGGATGAGTACTATCTAGTAAAAAATTTGGGATCACATGTTTGAATTCAAGTTATGTTTCTTCTTCCACAGATTACAATCTTAAAGCATTTCACTACCGAAATACAAATTCCAAATTAGCCTTAGCAGATGAAAAACTCTTCCAAGAGCTAATTCAGCTGAGCAAAAGTATTTACATCATTACCAAGACTAGTTTCATATTTGAAAATACAAGCATGCATTCTTAAAGCAAAAGATGTTCCCAGCTTACTAAAACTCATGATTCTTTAACTTATAATCTGTTAAAAAATTTTAAAAACCCCAAAAATTAAATCACAGAAAAAATGTTCCTTAGCTATGCCCCAGAAGGCTAAACAGGAAAAAAATAAATGCCTCACTCCTCAAGTGATGGTTCCTAAATAGACCTAAGCTTACGTCGCCAAGACACTTCTATTCCTGAAGCACCCACAGCACCACTATTACATTTCCTTCCAGTTTTAGATTAGTTTTGTTGTTTTTAAAGCAGCTCATTCTCCCTGTGGAGCAGCTAATAGGAAGTAGTTAGCCTGAGGTAACAGGACAAACTCAGTTTTACTATGAATATACAGGACCAGTGCATTGTTGCACTTATCAAGTTCACATCACGGAGTGTCAATCTCACCTGCGCTGCACTGACCAACCTGGGCCAGCTCCGATCCCGCATTTGCTTTCCTGTAACTATAAGAAGCCAAGAACCAAAGTAATCTCCCCTTCTTCCCCCTAAAAAAAAGCACTCGGAGCCACTCCTCCATCATCCAGCAGGAAGCATTCTCTTTTATATCAGAAAGCAAAGCTTGTTTTACCCTTTCAGGTAATTCAGCTTATTCTGTTAAGCTCGCCACTCGTGCTCAAGTCTCCACAGTGGATCTGGCCTAAGCTTCCCCAAGAGTCAACAGAAACAGTCCTTCTCAAGTTTGTTCCTTCACCTTGAATAATAAGCCATGGTCCAAGGCAAGTTTAATTGCCAACAGGCTGGGTATTTGCCATTAAAAAAAAAATTTAAAAAAAAAAAAAAAGAAATTGGGCATAGACACACACTCCTAACAGACACAATTATCACAGCCTGCACCAAGACACCTTGTGAAGAAGCTAAACACAGTCTCCTTTACCTGGTCCAAGCTTATTTCTAGACATCTTCCTTCCAGTCTTACAATAGATACTTTCTTAAAGGTAAACTGATAATTTTGTGTTAAGTGTGAATTTAAAAAGACATTTGACTTCCTTTGTAAACAGAAAACACTATTCTTTTCCCGAGTGGAACTGGAGAAGTTATTAAGCAGGAGATCAGTAGTCAGAACTCTTAAACTGAATATTTCAACTCCTGTCCCTTTTGAACAAAATAACAAAAAGAATGCATTTGAGGAAGTGTTGTCACATAAAGGAGAGAAAACCTATCATGCCCAGCCATGCAGTTACATATTTCTCCTTTATTACAGGTGAAACTAGATCTAAAATATCTACAACGCCGTATTCATACTTCATATTTGTTGACATCTCCATTAAGCAGTGTTATCTGCACACTTACTGTTCCCCTCCCTTATTAAAAAAGGGCACAATTTCACCAGGAGTTATGCCATTTACAAAAATTCCAGGCTAATGCTGCTCTTTAGACATTGCTGCAGGTTATACCCAGGTTCAAGATTTCAGTCAGAATGAAAGTCCCATTCTGAAGACTTTACGCCAAAGAAATTCACATTACTAATACAGCCTCCACCACATCAGTAATACACTCCACACAGCATGGCAACTGAACAAACACGATGTACTTGTCCTATGAGTTGGCTGTATTAGTACTGAGAAATAAGAGCTCAAGTCACACAGAGGAACCCACAGTAGAGATGTAATTGAAGTCACAGAGCAGCTTTATATACCGAAGATCTTTGTGCAATTAAAGGAACCAAGCAGCAGAAACACAGAAGTATGTATAACAGGGTTCAGTACAAAAATCAAAAGGTGCAAGGAATAAGGAGGACAGGAGAGACTGGACATGTTCACCACTTCATCTTGTCTCCTTAAGCTTCAATTGACAAAAATGACTGGTGTTACTTAACACTGAACTGCCTCTGTTTTAGGACAGGATGTCTGAAAGGAGTATAGCCTTAATTCTACTTGTTAGCAGCCTGTTCTGCATTTAAAAAGCCATCTATACAAGGAAATCTTCAAGTATTCTATATGTAAGAAAAAGAAAAAAAATCAAGCATTAAGAATTAACCATGGTACACTCAAAAACAGCTAAAAGCAAAACCCCAAAGTTTCTCCCAGACATTTTGACATACAAATGACCTCTCTTTCCTACTATCACACCTTTTCAGGAAGAACATCAGTACTGCCTGCACCGAACTTCTGCTGCCTGCTCACACAATCTGCAGAATAACCTTGTGCTCTTGCCCCAAGAAACATGTTCTCCGTGTATGTCAGTTCACTTGTCATGTGCACAGTGTGTTGAGTCTCTACCTCCAGTAAAATTTTGCTTTCTACTGGGAGAAAATGACAGAAAAAGGAAAATCATACTCCATGGCTATGTATTTCGAGGAAGGTAAAATAATTGTGTTCTACAAGCAAAGCTTTCCAAATCAGACTGCCCAAAAAAAGACAGAGAAATCAGAAGACTCCTTTAGGACTACCACAGCGTGCTTCACCACCAGTTGGAAACACCCGTACAAAAAATTTTCTTGACCTTACAATAGATTTCACAAACACACAAAAAAATTCTCATCACCTCACTTGCTTATGTGGTTAAGCAGCAAAACCATGCTCTTCAGAACCGCTGCCTGTGCAACTTGCACGAGACTTAGTACGCTGCTGCTGTCCCTGAGGAACCCTTCCAAGAGGGAGAGAAGACTGAGTAAGAGGACTCTGTACCAGCTTGGACAAGTCCAGTACAGGCATTCAGACATAAAGACCCCACCTACACTTCAGGGATAACTTTAGAGAGGCAAAATCGAAGCCCTCAAGCCCCATCTGCACTCTTCCAGCACCGCTGGCAGGCAGAGCACCAGCAGGCTGCACAAGCACGCCCAGCGATCAACTAAGCCACTTACTCGAGTACCAGCTCACTGTGCGTATGCTCAGGCATGCGGATTCCCATGTGTTCGGGCGCTTCCCTACTACATATGGCTGCTGGCTCACTGTCAGCGTGAAGTCAGTGTGCTCTAAAGAGTAGCTCAGAGCCTCTCCACAGCATTCGCAGACATACCCAAACTGTCTGATCCTTCCTCCCTTTGGCCACCTTTGCCATGCTGCATTTCACAAAAGTGGCCCCGGGGCCACACGAAATCCCAGCAGCAGATCACAAAGCCATTAGCTCAGTAGCAGATCACGAAGCCATTAGCTCAGTAGCAGATCACGAAGCCATTAGCTCATGAAGGATGTTGCTGCCTTCTCTTTCGCCTTGCCCTTTAGAATTACTTCACACAAGCATCTCACCCATAGGTAAAAAGAATCAACCTTCCCAAACCCTCTCCACCCATCAGAAGGTGGAGTCGTCCTTTATTAATCAAAAACTAGCAAGGAAAGGTTTGTCTTACTACTGGCAACAGATGTGACGTTAACTGCCTGGCCCCCACTAAGCTGGTTAAGTTTAAGGCAGCAGTTAAAGCCATAGAGGGGACAGACACTTTTGCAGAGTACACAAAACACCATCTTCTTTCAAGGCCATCGTTTTCTGCATCCAACCGCATCTTACTGTGCCCCTTCAGTATCTTAAAGGGGCCTACAGGAAATCTGTGAGGGACTTTTTAGGCTGTCAGGTAGTGATAGGACTAGAGGGAATGGAGCAAAGCTAGAAACAGGTAGATTCCGATCAGATATTAGGAAGAAGTTTTTCCCCATGAGGGTGGTGTAGGTTGCCCAGAGAGGTGGTAGAAGCTCCCTCCCTGGAAGTTTTTAAGGCCAGGCTGGATGGGGCTCTGAGCAACCTGATCTAGTGCGTGATGTCCCTGCCCACGGCAGGGAGGTTGGAACTGGATGATCTTTCAGGTCCCTTCCAACCCAGACAATTCTATGATTCTGTGATCTATACCCAAAAGTGGAAGTCAAATCCCTTCAGAGTAATAAAACTATATCACAAAGAATAATACAAATCTTCATTGACCCATTCGCTGTTCAGTGCTAGACAAGCTAGGTTAACAAAATAAACATTCAAGCAGTTTAAAACTTTCATAATAGGGATGTAACTGTATGTGAAAGTATGAATGCAGCAAGACAACCCAGTTAAAAATCTCTGTAGTCCACCAATCTCACAGAGGAATACTAGGCCATGCAACCAAAACTGGACACAAAAATTCCTTTTCAGAAACACCTGATTATCTAGTAATTATGATGTGGTAACGTTATGACTATAATACAGTGTCTACAGGACATTCATGCCAAGTATTACGCAACACCTTGCTAAGAACATGATGTTCCCTTTTAACATAGGCCAACCATAGCAACCCTATATAAAACACTACAGTAGATGTAGACTAACGATAATTTACTTGTTCTACTGGCTAATGGCAATCTACTTACTTTTAAACCACACCAAATACTCCTCAGCCCAGAACTTGCTCATGTGTTTATAATTAAAAAAAAAAAAAAAGATTTTCTGCAGTACAGAATTTTTTAATATTGTAAAGATG